ATTTACACACACAAATGAAAACTTTTGCACACACAACCCCCAACCACCCGCCTTCTGCCCGCTCACCGCCGTAAGCAAAGCCAAACCAACTGTGCTACCATTCCCCCTCCCGCCTTTCAGCTTCTTGTTCCTCATGCCTCTGCCGCCCTATACCCATATCAAGCGCACTTTCCACACTTGCCCCACTCCAGCTCCCCTTAGCACACACATAAATACATACATATATTTGTAAATATGTGTGTGCATATGTATGTGGTTTTCCTCCTTTATACACGCTCTCTTGCGCTAGCTAAGCTAGGCTGGTCGGCAGCTTCTGCTGTGCCACGTCTCGTCTATGTGCGTTTTGTGTGTTGAAGAAATGAAAGCAAAAGAACAGCTGATAAGCGCGACACTGTCGTCGGCTGCGTCGTCAACGCAGACGCTGACGCTGACGCTGACGTCAAAATTCATGCTGCGCTGTTAACAGTGCGTCGCGACGCTCATGCACAGATAAATATATATAAATGTGTGCTATGGCCCCTGGTGGATTAAGTGAGTGTGGTGAATATTAAATTCAACTCTTGATGAAAGCAAATTAAGGTTAACTAATGATCGAGTAAAGAGCGAACACAGTGGAGTACATCAATTAAATTAAAACCCAATTGCATTAATAATTTTATTTATATCTGATGTTAAAATATTTAATATTTCTTACCATATTCGTATTTCTCCAATTTTGTTAATTTATATTTTTTTATGTAATAAAATCCATATATTTACAACTTAGATATATTAAGAGGTTTAATTGCTGTGAATAAAAAAATATATAACATTAAATAAGTTTGCTTTAAATCAAGCAGTTGAGTTGTATTTTTACTGCCATGACACCACAGTGCTGCGGTAAGCAGTGTACTGTTAACAAGCATTGCGCTGTTATTAACAGCTGCTCTGTCTGCTGTTACTTTAACGAAAGCTGTCGCCGCCTCTGTGACTGCTGCTGCTGTATTGCTGTGCGCCGCATACAGGCGTTTAAAAATTGTTTCACTCCATTTGCAAATTAATTGCACGGTAAATGTTAATAATAAATACATGCACACATGCCAGCAGTAACAGTCTGGGACAGACCCCCTAACAGCAATCATTAAAAAATATGATGAACATTTTTATGCACGAACATAGATACAGATATGTATGTATAAGATATAGATATACATACATATATACAATAACATAGCATTTAATTGGCATACGCCTGTCAACACACACACACACTGTGGCAACAGCAGCGTCTGTAGCAGCGGCAGTGGCTTCCGCATGTTATTAACAGTGACGTTGCGGCCGTCGCGTTTTGCCGGCTAATGCCACCAACAAAAAATGCGAAAAGTATAAAAAGAGGAAAAACAACAACTACAACAATGTGTGCGGCGAGCACTGTTGTAGTCGTAGGTCGCTGCTGTTGGCAGCCATTTTAACAGCAACAGAGCAGCAGCGACGCAGCGGCGCAGCAGCAGCAAAGT